TCATCCCTATTTAATGGAAGACGTTGGAAGACTTATTACTTGCTGTCTTTTCCTATTTTCTCTATAATAATAGATGGAAGCTTTTCCAGTTCTAATTTTAAACGTCCAAGGATGGACGAGGAGTGGGAGAGGATGGGAGAAGAATGGATAACAAGCAACTACCACTGAAAATGCCCGATTATTCGAGGGAGGATATCAAGAAATACCAACTCAAATTGGATATACTACTTCAACAGCGTGCCAATCTTCGTTCCAAAAAGGAGAAGATTGAACATGAGATGAACGATATGAAGAGATGGATTACTGATGCAAAATAACATATTAAACATCAGCAGGGCTGGATTGCCGATACAAGAAAAACAAAATAAAGAGGAGGAAAAACTGAACCATGATGCATAGTTCGAAATTGCATGCGGGGAGACTGGAAGAAACATTAGGTGGAATGAAGAGGACATTGAAAAGCATACGAGATCGATAGAAAGAATTAAAGCACTATATCTGCATGATAAAATGTTGTTGTATTTCGATTAATTATAGTTGTCAATGTTTCTAGCTCCATTAATTATTGTTGTCAATGATCCTAGTTCGAACTTTCTAATTTATTGTGCTTAAATGGTGCTGATATGACAAGTCCCCTATATTCCCTATAAATAAATAACATTGTTTTCCATCACAAACTTGTTCCACCATCAAGTATTCACTCACTCTCAACTCAGTAGGTAAAAAATGGTGAGACGTTGCAACTGTGGCGCTGATGCGATCATCCTAACGTCATAGACCAATTACAACCCAGGTTGTCGATTCTTTTGTTGTTCATTACCTGTGAATGTTTTCCTATATGAAAACCTTCGCACATAATTATTTTTTCATACATATCTATTCCTTACTTTCTACAGGAAAAAAAATTGCAGATTTATTGATTGGTTTGACCTACCATGTGCCTTAAATATGTGGTAATTATTCCAGTGTTATTAAGATCGAAAAATAATCTTGAAGCTTCCCCTTTTGAAGCTATTTTACAAGTCTGTCGGTTGAAGATGATGTTAACGATATATTGGATTTCCTTTTTAGTAATTTTGATGTTTTTGTTCATCAGAGTATTGTAGGATAATTGTCCTTGACACAATTATCAGTGAAGATCATTTAAAATATAATTTACAATGTCATTTAAACCAAATATACGTTTTATTACAACTAAGGTATATGTGTTGCATATAAAAGAGATGCCAAACGTTGCCGAAATAATTTCACATGATAGTATGTTGGCTCTGCATAGTATATATCTTCTTCTTGGGACAACTGTTTAACAAATATACAATAGAACACCCCACAATCACCGATGACTCCAGTCTGTTGAGGACGTCTTCAGAATAAATTACCCATAATTTTGGCAATTTGGGTGCATCATCGACCCCTATATAATATCTTATCTCCAATAAAAATTCGGGAAGGTACTTCTTTATAACCTTTGTTGTAGCATTGATATGTTTATTGAACATTTCCGGATGACAAGTATCGTATATGCTCAAATGCCACGACCTCACGTCTAGCTCCTCGGTCACCCAGTGAACATGTGGTACGTTTATTGGGATGAATACTTGAAAAAATAAGTTGCAAATCAAAATTGATAAATAAATTATTTTCTATATATAACAAAAAATTGTTATGTGATTCTACCGATCTGGTCGATGTCACGCCATGATGGAAATGACTCTAGTGTACCACTGCCGTAAACTTTTTGGTCCGTACGACCAAGTTTCGGGTTCTCTAAATTTGGTACCCAACATGACCGCATGATGGTCCAATGGTCAGTCGGTTGTCTTTTGCAGAGCAGATACATGTTCCATGCATCAAGATTCTAGAAATAAAAAAAAACAATGGATTTTATGTTTAAGTGAGTAAGATACGTTTTTGAACTTGATTAGTAAAGATTGTAATTCTCGTACCTCACTTCCCAAAAACTCTTATTCAAATCTACCCAACAGTTGTCCCCAAAAAATCTTTTTAGGCCGACAATAAGATAGAATCGATAAACACATCATGGGCAACTGATCAACATCATACAACTGACCAACGTCTACTATAGTCGTTGTGGGAATCAATGGGGGCATTTGGTTAGCAGCTTTCTTGTCTATTTTCTTTGTCTTTAACGTCGTAAATGGAGATTTTGTCCAACACGATTTCTTGCTCACTCGCTTCTCAGGAGCATCGGGCAAACAAACTTTTTCTTGCGGCTCTACAAACGGGACCCTTGATGACGTTGATGTCGCAACATCCATCACAGGTTCCTGCTATGACGTAAACTGCAAACACACAATCCAAGATATATTAAAAAGTTTATCTAATTTAATTATTAAATTGAAAAATAAAAACATTAAGAAACTTTAACATATTTACCTCTATCCTTAGAAAAGTACGGCTGCGGCATAAACCGTGTACGCACGATCTAATATATATATATATTTTTCTTCATATAATTGTTAACTTTTAAAGTAAAAACATTAAAATCTTAATCAAATTTACCGCATCCGTTGGTGAGTACTACTGCACCATAAACTACGTACGCACAATCCAATATAAATTTAATGTTTATTTAATTGTTACTTGTAAAGTAAAAACATCAAGAAAATTAAACATATTTACATAATGACCCTGTGAAGGCATGTATGGTGAAGGATCAGCCTCAGGTACTGGTCTTGACACATCGTTCTTCCATTTATTAAGTCTCGCGTCGAGAAGCCCATATTTTTTGTTAATAAGGTCTGTAACCGACGTGAACTTTTGATCGCCTCCAACATTGAATTAGTTAAAGTCAACATGCCATTATGGGATGTCGGTATATGCCACAGATGAATGACGTTGTTGTGGCTCATACTGTGGTATATGAGAAGTGTGCATTGCAAATGATTGACGTGCTTTCAATGGTTGGACGTCGTCGTCATCGTATCATCTGATTCATGACCCATCCCTTGATCTAGGTCCGACTATCCATAACAATTATTCGCCAAAAAATCCCTGCTTTCGATCCACCATTTGGGCGACTCCTGTCGTCACCAATGAGGTCAGGGGGCGAAACGCGTTCAAAAAATATATAAATCAATATAATGTTTTCTTAACATAAATTTATAATAAATGAAACCAAACCTTGTTAAAAGTTGCGAACTCGCAACACTCTTCCCATTTTATCATTTTTTTCGTTTTCATCCAATAGCTCTCAGGATTGACGGATTATAACGATTTTTTTTTGGTTCGGGGAAATGTCTCCAAAATCCAGATCTGATAGGTTAAAAAAAACAAGGTGAGAAAATGTAAATTAATCAGTAAATAAGATATTATAAAAAAACGATAATCGACCTTGAAGGCATATATAAAACCATATAATATGTATTTATTTGGGGGCCAATTTATGTGTCTGCGGCGTTTGAAAGTATTTTTCAGCTGTTGATATGTCAGAAGCCATATATACGATCCTCACTTCCAGACATCTAAATTTTCAACCAGATGCAAAATCCAGTGTTGGATATTGTGGTTCTTTTTTTGTCCCAGGATACCGTATGGAGCATGATTACGAGGCAGACACACACTGCATCAACGTCTGATATATCTTTATTATTTAAGTCGATTAATTTATCTCTAAAACGCTCGATTTTAATATTATTATGTTTGGTCATTTTACCAAACAATCTTGTAATAATTAATGAGATGGTACAATGTGACGGGCGAAGATTCGGCCCAAATCGGAAACCCATGATCAAACAAAACTCATGTATGTTGAACCGTAAATGGAACTTTCCAACACGATAATATATTTATTTAGATTGAGAAGGGAAAGAGGTTCCTCACATTGCACCATCCAATTAATTAAGAAGAAGTCTGAATATTGGTTAGATATATCTAATCATGGACTGAAACATGTATCTCTTAACATGTTTAACCTCCTTTGATTAATTGATAATATATCGTTTATTTTTTTATTATTGAAGTTTGGGCCCTCAATATCAGTAACTACTGGTATGTCACTTGTTAAAATAAATTCAAAAAATTAGATTTAGATACTATACAAAATTAATCTAAGAACATTTAAAATATAGAGTATTAAGCTAGATAGTAGTCAAAAAATATATTTTTAAGTTAAATTAAAAATATTGCGAATTTTTATCCGTTGTTCCATGGTGATAGGTGGTTAGTGGCGGCAGACGGTGGTAGGTGGCAACAGACGGCGGTAGGTGGCGGCGAACGATGGTCGGTGGCAGAGATGGACGTGTGGTAGGTGGCGGTAGACGGTGGTGGATGTCGATGGACGGTGATTGGTGGTCGTCGGTGATCGGTGGTCGATGATCAATGGTCAACGGTGATCGGTGGTCGATGGTCGAGAGGGATCGGAATGCCAAAAGGGGGTGTGTGTCTATAGGCTCTACTGGTGGATGTCGGTGGGGATGGTGATAATAGTCCCCTCCGACCGCCTATTTATATAAACCGTTACGTAATAAGACAAAATAGATCATCAAATCGTCGTCAAATCGTAGGCCACTAAATGACAAAATAGTAGTCAAAATAGGTGGTTATAAAAATATGATATTTTTCAGATATAATATCTGATATTTGCTTCCAAATCATATACAAATAATTTTTTTTTTGTATCAACGATTATTAAAAAAATATTAACATTCAGTGGTTATAAAAAATATAATTTTTATAAGAAAATATAAAACACATTCGTTGGTTCATTTATGCATTTAAAAAAAATAGTCAAAATTATAAAGTTTGACGTGATTTCATACTGTGTTAAGAGTTATGATGGTAGATTGTGTTTGAAAGTTACGAATTATGAGAATAGAAATGTTTGATTTTATAGAGTAAAACCACAACATTTGATCTTAAAACACTCAAAATACCAATCAAAATCGTCCTTCATTTATTGATACACACCCCTTTATTGAATGATTGTCTTGTAAAAATAAAAACCACAAAGCAGAAGGACCAAGAATGTAATTCAAACTCTTGTTATTTTGGAAAGAATGATATACATCCAAACGCCCAAAGTCAAAGGTTCTGAAAAAAGCATCCATGAGATATCCGAAACAGGTGAAGGAAGTAGTCGTCTCATTAGCAGGCGGTTATCCCAATCTCCCCATCTACTTACCCTTTTTATCACAATCACAATCTAGATCGTATGAAGATTCCATTACCCGATTATGTCCCAACCCGATGTCTCATACAGGTAACCTATTTTTTGATTCTTCTTTTGCTTGATTTTCATTTCATTCTGCTTACTTGATTCATTTTCGTCTATCCATATCCACTTAACTTTCTTAGGTTTATGGATTTGATTTCAAGTTCTATAATTGATTTCAGCAAGTTTATTTTAGGTCAAAATTTCGTGATTCAAACGTGTATTGTTGTTGTTTTAGGCATTTTTCACATGAATGGTTAGTACTTTGCAACAAACAGCGAATATGTTTCAAAATGTCAATCACTTGATCAATTTAGTTTCATATCCAGTACCCTCAATTGGATTAATTGCAACAAACAACGAATATGTTTCAAAATGTCAATCACTTGATCAATCTAGTTTCATATCCAGTACCCTCAATTGGATTAATCAACTTGTCATTTGCATCAATTTTTATATGTTTTGGGGAAGAATCTAAAGTGTTTATATAACTGAAAACGTAGCCGATGGTCGGATGGTGGTTCAACAAGGACTTATTTGTGAGTTTATAAATCTGAACAAATATACAAACTCATAAATACGAACTTATTTGTGGGACATGTACTGATTTGTACTCTTGAAATTTAAGAGTTTTACTTGATTGGCTTTTTCTTCTTGAAACAATCTACTTTGTAATTGGAATGGATGCAACTGCTGATGGGCTAATCCTTTTGGTTTGTTTGAAACAGTTGCGGTTCGTGTGGATATCCTTTGAATCTAGCATCTTCAAATCGTATAGCATCTGAAATAGGCTCCAAGTATCGCAAATCCATTAGAAAAGGTTCTATATCTTTTGAATCCATTGATCTTAGTCGATTCACTCAATTAGACGAGGTATCTTGTTTTCCTAGTTGTTTGAACCGCCATGGCTCAAAAACAAAGTTATTATGTCGCCAATGTGGTGTTCATATAGGATATGGATATGGAGATGCAAATGCAAATGCTCTAAATGGTATTGAATCATCTTCCATATCTAACTCGTATTATAAGCAGATTGTGATAAAAATTCGAGCTTTACAACCTTTAGATACTGCTGGCTAGCTATGTAGAAATGGCAAGTGATGAAGTTAATCACTCTTTCATTATGCACCTTCCTGATGATTGTTTACGTTCCATCTTTGAAAAATTCGATTCCAGCACTGATCGAGAATCTTTTGGCCTAACTTGTCACCGCTTGCTTTATATTCAAGACTCAAGGCGTAGATCGTTGGAATTTGGATGTTCATTCTCTCGTGTAAACCACAAGTTGTCTAAAACCACAGTCGACATTGATTCCCTCATTCTTGATAAGTTGATTAGACGTTTTCAGCAATTAGAGTCTTTATCCTTATGTGGGTGCGTAAATCTTCTAGATTCCGGTTTAAGTCGATTGCAAAATCATGGGTCGAAACTGCATTCTCTCTATCTCGATTGTTGTTTCAAAGTTACTGATGCAGGACTTTCCTCGGTTGCTATTGGTTGTCCATCTTTGTCGTTTATTAGTCTTTATCGCTGTTCCATCACCGATAACGGATTAGAACTCTTGGCTAAATCGTGTTTATCTCTAAAAGACTTTAATCTTGAGTGGTGTTCCCTAATAACCGATAGCGGCATTTCCGCTATTTCAAACAATTGTCGTGAGCTTCGAGCAATCAAGATATCTCATTGTGACAAAATTAAAGGAGTCGGGTTTGACGGGTGTTCTCAAACCTTGGCCTGTTTGGAAGCCGAATCATGCAAGCTTGAACCAGAAGGCGTGATGCAGATTCTAAGCGGAGGTGGACTCGAGTATCTGAATGTTTCTTCTCTCGGTTGGTGCATACGGGGTGACGGTTTACGAGCAATCGGTGGTGGGCTTGGTTCGAATCTTAGAATCCTTAACTTTCGCTTATGCAGAAGTATTTGCGATGAAACGATAATGGAGATCTCAAAAGGGTGTCCTTTGCTTCAAGAGTGGAATTTATCGTTATGTACTGAGATTGGGGTCGTTGGATGGGAATCGATCGGGATTCATTGTCGTAACCTCGAGAAGCTTCATGTGAACGGTTGTCGAAGCCTTTGTGATCAAGGGTTGCTCGCCTTACAGAACGGTTGCAAACGTCTATCGACAGTATACATCTCGAGATGCCGACAAGTGAGTTCATTGGCAATTACGTTATTCAAGATTGCTAGATGGGATGTGGAAATCAAACTTGAAGAAGTTATGTATATTATGCCTAATCGTTTCTTTAGATGATAATTTTATAAAGGCATCTATTTTATTCACTTTTATGTCATTTGGAAGCCTAGTTGCTTCATTTTTAACAGTAGGTGTCTAGGTGAGTTTACGTGCATCTCGACTAATCTTAGGAACCCTGAAGAAGAGTCGGTAAAGTCAATCAAATTTGTATGAATTCATATTTACCATAAAGATTGTACTTTTTTTCAATTAATGTAATAAACGTAGTTTATATTTGTTTTACATGATAAATGGGTTTTCAATTATTGTAATGTTAGTTCATTTTAATGTGATATTTTTCAATATAATAAAAGAAATACAATATATAACTTGACAACTTAACAATTGTATAATCAATAATTACAATATTTATTATTTAAAGAGAGAAGTTAAAAAATCTAATAAACTTTTTCATTTTAAATTACTAAATGGGTACTCGCGTAATGCAATGAGATACATTTTAATTTTAATATTTTATTTTATTTTCTATTTTATTTTTTATTTCTGTCGATGTTATAATATGGTCTTATGTGATTTTGAAAAAATGATGATGTTTTTATTTTTGAATAAAATATAAATTTGAATAAATCATAAAAAAATAAAAATATATATATTAATATTAGTATTAAATTAACTATTTAAAATTCATATCTTTTATTTAATTTTTTAATTTAATTTTTTATTATTATAATTTAATTTAGATACAATAACGAAGTAATTTATATTTGATTTTATAATATAATTTTCTTATAGAGATAATAATTAATTATTTTATTATAACTCGATAATTATTTCAATTATATTTTAGATTTTTTATATTTTAAAATAAAATATTTATCCTCTGTTTGATTATGTTTATCCGAATTTAGTTACACGAATTCAAACATAAAACTTTAACAAGTTATACTTATGTATAATTTACTTGTAATCTTGAATTTTAAATAATATACATCAACATACATTAATTCATACATAAAAAATAGTTTTTAATAGTTTTTATCAAATGTTTTATAATATAATATATTGATTTAGTCTCAAAACTATTTTTTTTAATAAAAAAACCATTAAACTCATCCCATCTACCCTCTATACACACATCTCCAACACATTCTCTGTAATCTCTTTAATCCGCCACCACAAAAAACCAAAAACTATAACAATACCTCCAACTCCAAACACACCATCGAATTTAGCCCAAAAAAAGCTTGAAATCTCGTGTTAACACTTTATATGATCTTTCAATACAATATAGTAAGAGATGGAACAAAAGAGCTTATTTCATACAAAGAGCATTCCAAATACCTATCTATACACCCAACCAGCACATTTTTCATCTGTAATCCCTTCATTTCATACAGACAGACTCACATTTTCTTGGCTGTTTCATCGGCAGACTGATTTCCTTTCTTCTGTTTGTTTGTTGGTGGTGGTGGTTATGTGGATCAATTGTTTCCCCATACCCCGTCCCAGGCACCAGCCGGTGCAGCCTTGGGTCCCTCTATTTGACCATTTGGTCCAGGGGGTTGAACCTTGTTATTAGACTTTGTTCTAACACCCAAGATTCGAAACACAAATCTAGCTAACTCTCCATATAATAATCCCGACCGATCAAACAACTGCAAATGGTATAAACTTAAGGTAGTAAGTACATAATCATGCAAGATTTTGGCAACACCATTAGCAAGTGCTTCAATGTTTAAAACGCCAGATCCATATATGACGCTATTCCTGGAAGAACGAGACAAATAGGAAAAAAACCAAAATGTGAAAATACCTGAAGGAGGGCTGACATGAACATATGAAACGCCTGAGCATTCTGGTCTATCAGCATTGCTACCCGCCCAAAGAAAGTTACGAAACCTTGCATCTGAAAACACGTCGAGGTAAATTAAAGAAATCATATGTGGTGTTGTGCTTACAGTTACAAACTTCTAGAACCAAAATTTTATCACAAAATCCAAAAACTAAATCAAACGAAACCTGTATATCCCATCTAGACTTGGGTCTGGGGAGGGTAAGACGTAAACAAACCTAACTTCAACCTTAAGTAGTAGAGAGGTTGTTTCTATGAAAACCCCTAGCTTGTGAAAAGTGTGCCGAAGAGAGAAAGAATAACGTTTTGAATAGTTGATTATGATAAACAATAACATATAAATAAAAACAGATACAATAAAAGCATAACCAAAATTATGTTTGCTAAAACTTTTTACAAGCCCGGATCTTTAGAGTAAACCGCCTCTCTACCCCCAGGTATAGTTAAGGTCTACCATACATCTTACCTTAAAAGACCGTACTCCGTGTGGGACTTAGTGGGTTTGTTTGGTTTTATGTAGTGATCATTTTACAAAAAGGGTGAATTAACCCTTTTTAGCCCAAAGGTTGATAGTAGATATTCACAACTTTTGCAAGTTCAAATCTCCTTAGTGTATCAGTTTATTGACCGTTTAAATTAGAAAATGGAGTGAATTTAGGGTAGGGAGTCAAGTTGGAAAGGTTTTATCTCCAAAGATGAATGAGCATTCTCGTGTAACACAATCAAATTATTTGACTTACCACACGCATCAAAGAGATCCAAAATCCTGGAGGTGATGAAGGAGCACCAAATGGATTATTTGGATCCTCATCACCATACGGACCACCAGGACCGCCCATGCCCATCCCCATCCCCATCCCCATGCCCATCCCCATCCCCATCCCCGTGCCCATCCCCATACCATAGCCGCCCATTGAGCCTCCATAACCACTATTATACATTCCTCCACCATACATACCACCACCTCCAGAAAGGCCACCGTAACCTCCTCTATACATGCTGTTTCCATATAGACCACTATTATACGATCCCATTCCACCATAAGCTCCAGTTCCATATCCAGAATTCAATCCAGAACCATACCCCGTACCTGCGACTGGGACAAATAAATGATTCAGTTAAACATCAAAAAGAAGTAATAACAAGAGCCGACTATCAAAGAAAAATATATATATTTCCACCCACTCCAGAAAGTAACACTAAAAATGGGAAAGATTAACCTTTTCCCGTCAATCTATGACGACAAAGTTAACATCATCCAATCCATCAAAAACTGTATTTATAAGTATTGATTTAATACACAATTGTACAAATCATATAGCATCACAAACCAAAATATAGGTGACGAGGTCCAGGATCCGAGGAGCCTGATTGGAGGAGCATATGAAGTTCTAGGCCTTGTTCGCTGCATTCTCATAAATTAAGAAAATGACATTTAGGATTATGCATTTCTGTAACGTTTTAGAAAACAGGTGTTTGGTATATCTGTTTATTGCTATGGAACATGGCATTAAGAATATATGTATCATTCACAAAGATGAAACTATAGGCACCTCCATATGTGCTTCCATATGGCTGCTGTTGTTGCTCCCATGGCCTAGAAGGTACAGCTCTCCCAAGTGCATTTCTGTTCATTGCTGAAGTTGCATCATTTGTGGGAACAATTTCACCTGGTTTTGCTGTTCCAGAAGCCTCAACTACATCACTTGTGCTACCAGGAGATGGGGGTTTAAAAGGGGCAGGACCAGATGACGACCCAGCTCGTTCCCATGGCTTGGGAGGTGGACCACTGCCTGAATTTAAAGGGAAAGTTCTCAATGTCAATATCAAGATGAAAAAAGTTTCCAACAAAATGAAGCACAAATAATGGTGAAAGTAGTGATATAACCAGCATTCTAAAATATGAATATATGATTATGAAACTACTATACAAGAATACAACGGCCCTAGGTTGAGTAATTCAAACAACGACCAGACCTACCAACTAATGGCTAGCTTAGGTAAGTTATTCTGAGATATACAGAAAGATTAGCTCCGTTTCTCAGTGATAAGATTAATTGGTAAACAAGAGTACGTTATACCATAGGGTAGTGAATATGTGAAGAAAATACTCAGTATTGCAAATTGAGACCAGTAAAACTCATGCCATTATGATCAGGGATCCAATTTTTTTCGTAGATAAGCATATGCCTTTAGGGTGAGTTTGGTACGCAAACGAGACTATGCAGGACCGGATGGGCAAGAGTAAGGTTGGAGGATGAAAATGTTGTGGAAGATTTTAGAGTTTTAATTTAACATGAAGTTCAATAGTTTATGTTCCACCTTATTTTGATGGTACAAAAAAGATGGTTTTTTATCCTTCTCAGTTCTGTCCTAGTGGGCAACAAGTTTTTTTTGTTTTGTCTAGCGTACCAAACGGCAAATCCAGCCTTAGCGTTTGGGCTTAATTTCCCTTCTTGAAATGTCCAAGGCACCATTCACAAATTTACTAAGCTCTTTGGTTTGTCCAAAATAATACTAATAAACACCTCTTAGACCAAATCATGTTTATAACAGAAACCATCAAAATCCAGCAATACCGTAGCTATACAACCCAATGGGTCAACAAACTGAGAACTCAAAAGTTACATAATTCTAAAAAACCTCGGAAACATAACAACAAAAACTAGATAAACCCACCTGTGTTCATTCAACAATTTCATAGCCATAATAATCAATCAATAAAAACAAGTGAATTCTTCTTATTTCCTCAAAAGTTCAACAAAAACCCATCTCCCAATCCCCAAATCAATCATTCCAAACGATTAAAACCCTAGTAAGAAACACAAATTTTGAATTGACTCAACTCAAAAGAAACAACTTAAACAGCTAAAACCGCCTATGTTGAAATTCGTAGAAAGCAATAATAAATCCAACTAAAAGTTCACCATCTCCCAATCCCCAGATCCCAAATCAATCAATTCAAAACGATTAAAACCCTAGCAAAAAGCACCGGCTGTCAGATTAATTGAAACTCAAAACAATTACAAGAACAATGAAGGAATTAAATGAAGATGAGGGTAAACGAAACCTGATTGTTGCGAATTATTGGTTGCCATGGCAGGGAGAGAAGCGGTTCTCGAAACCCCACCACCGAGTACAGATAGAGAGAGAGAAAGAAGGTCAAAATAGCAACGCGAAGGTCCAAACTCTTGTGCTGATTTCGTATATTCGATGGATTTTATCCCTTTGGGAGTTGGGACTCTCTCTCTATTTCTTTCATTATTTACAAAATTTTCCCCTTTCCTTGGTGATGGGCGTGTGGGCCCTGAGTACAATAATGCAATATTAATTTTCGATTGTTTCTACATAATTTACAAAAAATCACATTCCTTTTTGGGAGTTTTTTATTTTAAAATTTAATGTTTTATTATATTGGGTGGCAAAAAAATATCCAATCCGAATCCAACCCAAAATTAGTAGGTTGGTTGAGATTTTCAATTCATTTAAATAAATAGATCAACCCGGCTAACCCATTTATATAAATGAGTTGGGTTGAATTTTTCGATCTGTTTTCAACCTGTTTTCAATTCATTTAAAATATTATACAATTTTATTTTATTCTTAATATTATATCTAGTATTCTAGTTTTTAATTTTGTTTTATTCTTAATTAAAAATCTTACTGTCGTGAGATGAAACTCCAAATTTCAATCGCCACCATTACACTTAATAATTATGAACCCTAAAAAAACTTTTTAGTCCATTACTCCATTATCGTCTGCAAAGTCTAATCCAACTTATTTTAAACAATATATTTGTTGTGGTTGTGTTTTATTCAAACTTTGAACAATTTGTTTGTATTTGTGGTTGTGTTTTATTCAAAAAATAAATAAATAGTATAGTACTTTTTTTATTTAAAATTTTAAAATTAAATGGGTCAACTCAGGTTCAACTCATTTATTTAACAGGTTGGGTTAAGAAAATCGTAAACAGATCAACCCGCTGTCAACCCATTTAGGTAACATGTTGGGTTGGCTTGAAAAATCTCAACCTATTTAATTAAATGGGTTGGGTTGGGTTGAGATTTTCAACATGTTTAATTAATGAGTTGAACCCGAACCCAACCCAACCTGACCCATTGTCACCCTAATTATTTTATATTGTATTATAAAATATTTGAAAAAAAAATAATAAAACCATTTTTTACACATCAAATACTATTTATTATGCATATTACTTAAAATTTAATATTACAAGTAAATAATGCATAAATACAACTTATTAAAACTCCTGCTTGAATTCGTATAAATAACTACGGATAAACATAATCAAGTACTGGATAAACATTTTATTTTAAATATAAAAAATCAAAGATATAATTAGGATAATTACTATGTTCTAACAAAACACTTGACTATTATATTTGTAAAAAATATATTATTAAATTAAAAAAATAAGTTACTTCGTTATTAAACCTAAATTAAATTTTAAAAAAATCACATAACAAAACTTCTAAATAGTTAATTCGATACTAATATCTATATATTTCTTTCAAAATTTTAAGATATCATCAAATTTATATTTTATTCAAAAAATTATAAACATTATGGTTTTTTTTCAAAACCACAAACCATATTATAACATCGACATGGGATAAAATAAAGCGAAATACTAAAATCAAGATAAATTTCGCTGCATTGCACGAGTACCCTTCTAGTTAATACTAACACGTTTTGATGTATTTATATTTTAATATTTTTTAAAATACCAAAAAATTTATTAAAGAAAAAAACAAAAGAGGCAATAATAGAACATCTCTATAGGGTGTGGAAACAAAGCAAAGCATAAACACAATCCAACAAGTTGGAAAAAAATTGGATATCAAAAGCTAAATCAGTCTAATGATGTAGCTGATCAGAGAAACTACTTTGTAAAGACGACCCCAAATCACGTACAAGGAAACCCAAAGAACGACTTGTCATAAGCTTTTTGAAAAATTTAGAAAAAGAAGGGAGATCTTCCATGGTGAAAATGTTTGCGATAGAGTCAATATTGAAAGGAGCCAAGCCGCCCCTCCTAAATACCTTCACCTACACATCTGAAATCTTCAAGCAACGAACGAAACAATGATCAATAGTTCTGGTCTCCTTCCCACATCTATGATATAAAGATGAGTGGATATCAATACTAAGATCCCCGAGCACCAACTGAACCAGAATTCTACCTTGCTTTAACCACAATATGAATATACAAACTCTTTTTGGAATCAATTTGCTCCATTTTGCTTCGATAACATGACTTGAGGTTCTAATAGGGTTCTTATCTACCATCTCCTTGAGGCTCTTGACCAAGAAAACCCTATCTTCACCCAAGAGCCACACGCACTTGTCATCCTCGTTGCTAGGAGGTGTTAGATTTTGAACCGAGCCTTCTAACTCCACCAACTCCTACTGCAGCTCACTAAATCCATCAATTTCCCCACTCCAGAAATACATATTGCTTGAAGCTTCTAGTGTTTTTATTTGCGAAGATCAAAGTTGGGTTTTTTAGGTGGAAGGCGGGTTTTTTCACGAATTCAGCAACCTTCTCCACCATGCTGATGATCCATCTCGTTTTTTCGTTGAAACACGTGTCCCCTTATTTCTTCTTGTTCTTTTTTGTTATGGGTTTGGGTCTTGCCAGCCAAAGTGGGTTAGATCTTCCAAACTGTGTGAAGGTGATGATGAGAGACGAGTGAATAGGGTGATGTGTGAAGATTTACCCATTGAGCGAGTGTGTGAAATTTTGATGATTGATCGGGTGTGTTACCACAAAACGTATTATCCCATATCTTGAAACCCATATGTTGATCTAGTGGTTTTATGGTCAAACTGGAGACGGATTATGGAGTGTATCACAATATGCATTTTCGTTATTTTTATTTGTTTTATGAAGGATATTACAGTGTGCATTTTCCTTAGTTTTGTTGTTTTACAAAGGGCATCACATTGTGCGTATTTTATGTATCTTGGGGTATTACAAAATGTATTTTTGTTATTTTCATTGTTTTATGAAGGACATCATATTGTGCATTTTCTTTATTTTCGTTGTTTTAAACAGGATATCACAATTTGCATCTTGTATGTATCTTGGATATTAAGCTGAGTATCGTTTGTATGTATTTCTTACAGTGTCTTTTTTTATAGGTATCACAATATATATCGTATTTTCATGTGGTGTTCGCCGGAATAAATTTCATTGGAGCCGGAAACCGAGAGAGGAGAGAAGAAATTATTAAAATACCTAAAATTCATTTAATTAAATTTTAATTCAAATTACCAAAATCATTATTTTTTTAATTTATCCTTTGATTTATGATTGAAATTGGATTTCACTGTTATAACAAATTACTGAGTTCCCCATTGAATGGTCCCTTATATATATTATGTATGTATGTAGAGAGAGAGGGAGAGAAAAGATAAAATAGATACATAAAAAGTTATATAGCTGTAAATGTTTTGATTTGATCACATTGTTGTACCTCTTCAATTACCCTTGTTCATTAGTGTAACACCCACAATTTTTGGAAAACACAACTGATGAATGACCAAAAGAATGATCCAGAGAACAGCACAACACGACATGGGAACGTGGCTCGAAGCCTTCTGAGCGGCTTGGACTTAGGCCTAAGTCACGACCAAGGTCGCGTGACTTTCTGTTTGAAGGATGGTGGATATGTGCGACTTGCCGCGTGACTTGAGGTCACGGGGGCTGATCTGCAGCACATAAAATCCGATTTTTTTGAGTTTTCTTCATTTTTCTCGGACTTCTTCATTTCTTATCTTGGAGATTTCTGAGGCTAGAGACTCAATTTTTTTAAGCTCTTCAAAAGGAGATCGAAGAAGATTAAAGTTGCTTCATGATTTAAGGATTCACAGGAGTTGAAAAGTAAGATCTATATCTCCATCTTTGAGCTAAGGTGTGTTCCCTTTGCATCCTCAACCCTCATATCTTATTTTGTGTTTATTGTGGAAGATTGGGAGTAAGGGAAGTGTTCTTAAGAGCTTTACACCACATATCTGATAGTGTAGCTTGAGGATCTCAAGTCCTCACCAAATGAAGTTCAAGATCTGGTTTGGAGATTAGATTTAGCATAAATATAGCAAGGTGAGTTATAGTTGCTTTGCAAAACTATATGCATGTCAGAATATCTTTATTTTGAGTTTTCAACACACATCTACGGATTTATCTCACTTTTGATATTTTTTTTGAATATTTGCGCTTTTAGACATATATTAGATTATGGAATCTTTAGAGAATGTTTACAATGTTTTGTTGGATGTTTTAAGACACGAAATGGTATTTATTCCATAAAATGAGATTTCTTGGATATTTGGATAATTTGAGACAAAATACTATTTTAACTCTTGAAAAATATATCTCAGATTATTGATGATTTTCAGTGGTTTTGTGAAACAATTCAAAGGGTAATCAACCTTATTCTGGGTCAAATGTGGTTTTGAGATTTCACCTAACTTATGAGTTTTTTATGGTGGCACATAAGCACCTTTGTTCATAAATGTATTAATCTTTGATAATTGTTTTCATTAGCTTTGTGGAAAATTTGAAAGTACTAACCATGCAATTTGGACCTTTTGGATATTATGCTTCAATATAAAGCTTGTTTATGGACATATTTATGACACAGGTGTCGAGTATGTCTTAAACGTTTGGAAAACATGCCTTTTTGGCATATGCAGTTTACAATGAGTTTATTTACATGGTCATGTGTTTTGTAGACATATTGGCTTGATTTTGACTCAAATGAGTTTTAAGGACATTTGTTTGATTTTATTAACTCAATATAGAGCTTTGGATGTATAATGCATTAATTGCATATTTGTTTGATATTACATGTTTTGAGTGCATTGGTCATTCAATTGGTGTCATGTAGTTTTATATTGTAATGCACTGGTTCCATAGACTTGTGAGTCAGTCTTTTGTTAAGCGATGAGTTTTGATATCCTTGTTTGGAGACCGGTGCTTGAGTAAGCAAGTGATCGTCTTGGTATTATGGATAGGAACTCTTATGAGTTGGACTCCCTGTAGGGTTGCACTCCGTGACCTTGGTATTGTGGAGAGGGACTGTACGAAGTTGGAATCCGGGACAGTGGATATTGTGGAGGTGATCTCTTATTGAGTTAAGACTCCAGGACCCTGGGTACTACAGTGATGAACTCGTGAAGAGTCGGGCACCAGGACCCATGTTTTGAGTCTTATCCTAGTAGAGTTGACACTAAGTCACCGAGGAATTTTTGGATGAACTTGTCTAGAGTCGGGCCTCAGGACCATTGGCTTGTAGGTGTAATTCTATGGTGTATAAGTAGGCATTAGGCTCGGTGTATTACGAAGATGAACTAGTGTGGGGTCGGGCTCCGGGACTTTAAGTATTGCGTGGAAACTTGAGAGGAGTTAGACACCGGGACCGTGATTTTAAGGCGCTATTTGATAACGTTGACATATGACTTACTTTGTGTTTATCCATAGTCGATGAAAACGGGTCTCCCCCATCACCTAAATGTGTTGTTTTGGGTATTGAGTTTATATATGCTTTCGATGATTTGGGGTACAAAGTATTGTATTATTTTGGGTACTTCGTGGAGCGAGTCTTATTTATTTATTTTGGAGGGTGGATTTGTATGTCAATTATGATCTAATCTCAACCATCCATCAACATGCCGGTAAATTTGGTTAAAAAAATTGTATTCATCCATTGATTATCATTACATTAATGAAATGACCGTATTTTAAAAAGGCATTTTCTTTACATGTCAAATAGTGATTAGACAACAGTAGCCAAAAAAAGAAACGTTACGATAATTATCGTCTCATTAATTTTGTTAGGTCGGTAATTAAAGTATATGTTTTGTAAAATGATTATGTTTAACTGAACAACTAGTAAAAGTCAAATGAAATGTTGTAGATCTATTCAAAACTAATAAAAAGAACACAACTGAAATAAAAATAGTGGATCTATTAAAAGATAGCATATGAAACACACCCATAAATTACATATTAAATTTAGATGGAATATTTTCGTAAAATAATATAATATTATTATTAACAAAAACCTACAATCCCCAAGTAACGAAGAACTAGACTTGCCATTATAGAATCGTTTTTTAAACACAACTGTAACACCTCTAAATTTGGAAAATAGCAGAAAATTCAAAACTTTCAAACTCATTCAATTTAAAACGTCTTTGAATAGGTCAGATGTTACTAAAGCCACCACATTGCTATCTTCAAAACTAGATGATGCTCTAACGCCATCCTATTGGAAGCTCTACAAACCTCCATACGTCACTCAGATCACACTAAAACCTGATATACATGTCAATAAGAAAAAATGTTAGGCTTAACGCCTAATGAGTTAAAGCAAAATACTTCTCTTTTAACTACCCATTTCCTCATTTAAAATCGCGTTTTGAATCAAAGGAATATCTTTATAAAAACCCACAATTTCCAAGTGAAATCCAAATAATTAGAACACTTAGGAGCCGTTTACCAAATATTTATCCAGCAAGCACTTACCGATAAAATTTAATACTATCATTTACTTATCAGGTAAGATTTTAGTCCACTAAAATGGTATCGTATACAACAATTTACCCGGTAAGAGTCATCGTCTTCACTTACCGGGTAAGACTCTTGGTTATCGTCTCGTTCTTACTGAGTAAGATTTTTAGTCCTTACCATATTCATCCGGTAAGATAATATAACTTGGTATTCACTTACCCGAGTAAACGTTTGATAAACAGTCCCTTAAAGTGTTGGGTTTGGAATTGAACTTATCAATTTTCTTCACCGTGTGTGGTTTGCCAAGTGGAAGTGATTTAATTACAATGAAATTAGGATATTCTAATGGTCGGATGAATTGTTCATTCCATGACTTTTGTCTTGGTATTGAAGTCTCTTTTTACCATAAAATTACAAAGTGACAAAAGGACTTTAAAAATAATAAATTTAAAAGAGTTTTAAATAATTTGACTTATATCGATAATTTAAGAAACAAAACTACAAAAACATCATAAAAAATATGTTGATAATTTATTATTATTATTTCATTTAATTGTAATGTTATATTTCAATCATTTTATTTTGGACAAAACACATAAAATGGTAACCAAAGTTTAATTTTTTTTATTATAGCATTTAATTTTAAGTTTTTTTTATTACAACAATGTACTTTTAAAATATTTTTTATTAAGATAACTTACTTTAAAAAATTTACCTCTTATAATATTGAGTAATCTTTTAAATTAAATTTACTCATTATACCGTGTTTATTTGTCATCTCATTATTCACGTAGGATGTCCACATGTACGAGAGTATTGACATTACATTTCTTATCATAACATTGTACTTTCAAAATTACTTTATTATAATATCACCAATTTTTATTACAACATTGTACTTTTAATTTTAATATTTTTATCATTTAAATATTATAAATTTAATCAAATATGTTTACTAAAAATTATAATATTAGATTGTATTGGTGATGCTTATAGAGTGTGTTTTTTTATTTGAAAAATATAATATTAAATTTCATGTAATCATGTACTGTTTGATATGTTATTGCAAATATGTTAATGCTAAAAAAAATTATCGATTTGGATGTATTTTGCCTTCTACAATATGTCAAAAAACAAAATAAAAAAAAAAGATATTATAATCGCAAATAATATTTATTATAATTTCTAATTAACATATTTGATTAAATTTACAATGTTTAAATGATAAAAAAAATAAAACTAAAAGTACGATGTTGTAATAGAAATTCGTGATGTTATAATAAAATAATTTTGAAAGTACAATGTTATAATAAAAAATGTCATGTCAGCACTCTCGTACATGTAGACAGCCTACGTGGACAATGAGGTGGCAAATAAACATGGTATAATGAGTAAATTTAATTTAAAAGGTTAACCAATGCTATAACGGGTAACTTTTTGAAAGTACGATGCTCTAATAAAAAATATTTTGAAAGTACATTGTTGTAATGAGAAAAATTGAAAGTAGAATGCTATAATAAGAAAATTTATAAAAGTAGGTTGCTATTTCACGCATTTTGTTCTTTTATTTTTAGTTAGTCAAATGCATGGTCAAACGTGCGATTAAATTTCACTCAATTTCCCTCGGATTTTAGTTGTCTCGAAAATATCATGTGAACAAAATGTCCCCTTAGGTTTATAGGCAAACATGGATACGCACCCCGTTGGGGAACCTGGTTCACTCGCCTTGTTTGCGGATCCTCAACATGTTGAAAACCGAGGGTCAGTTAATGTTTCTCCAACTTGCCTCGTCCCTGTATGTATGTATGTATGTATGTATGTATGTATGTATGTATGTATGTATGTATGTATATCATACTGTGCATTTTAGAGTAAGGTTCATACGAAAAGAATAAACATTTGTTAGAATAAGAAAACGGCTTAATCATATATAATTTTACACTAAATAACGTGTGATTCACACGACTTTGGCTACGACTTTTGAGGTCGTAGGTCACGTCGCTTGTACATCATTGCGTTGACCGTTAGTATTCAATCACAAGTGATTTTGCACGTGATTTGACCATATTGGTGTTCTCTTATTTAATTATTGTTTTCGGTTTAACATTCTTTTTATTTAAATAACTTTTTATTATAATATCTAAAGTTAAATATTGCATTTTTATGTTACATCTTAACCATTTCTGATTCATGTTTTTATAATTACTATTTGACACACCATGTGATGTGTTTTACGAGTTATATATATATATATATATATATATATATATTTGATCAGCTTCTGAATTAAAAGTATTTATTTCATCTAAAAAATATAATTATTTCATATTAAATACATGAGAAAATTGGGAAATTGCTTTGACCTATACTGTATTTTACAATATATTTTTATTTTAACTCTTAATTTTATTAATCATACAACTTATAGACATTGAAGGTCTGTTTATTAGCGGCTTAATGAGTGATAAGCTATACATGACTATTTGGTAGTCGCTTAATGATATATAAAATGATTTATTTAATAAGTTTCTAGGAGATAGCTTTGTGAAGAAAGCTAAGTTTTGTTTTCTTCCAAAAATTTCCATCCCAATTAAAAAACGTTCATTCCATTTAGAAAAAACATTTTCAATATATATATATATATATATATATATATATAGATAAAAAAAAATCCATATAAACAACTTTATCCATGCATAACTTCTTGAAAAAGCAACCAAACAACCCGTATAAGTTATTAAATACAACTAAATATTTCAATCTCTAAAAATTCCTATTTTATTCTTATTTAAATGTTTAGAATATCGTTTTTGAAAAATGCCACTACATTTTAAGATATAAAATCAATCAACCAAATTATTTAAGAGGCTGTTTATTAAATGCTTACCAAGTAAGTACTTACCGACAAGAGAAATCACCCTTATTACTTATCGTGTCACATTCTTGCCCATCAAAATAGATTGTTGGTAAGCGTGTCAAACCCAGTAAACGTTAAACGAGTAAGAGTGGAAAAGACTTTTGGTCTTTGCTATGTCTTTTACTGAACAAAATTCTCGGTTCTTATCATACTCAATTAGTAAGATAATTGATATCAATAAACACTTACAATGTAAACTCTTAATAAACATCCCCTAACAGAATATTTAAGATTTTTAAATAGCTCATGTTATAAATGAAAAAAATCTATGTCTTTTTTGAAGTAATTAAAGGGGTATTTAGAATTGTTTATTTGAAAAGACTTATGCTTTTCTACAAAAAACATTTATCAACTTATTATAAGTTAGAAGAGTTTAACTTTTTCAAAAACTCTTTATTACCGGTTTGACACCGGTATAAACTGTTTATTCAAACACTCAAAAATACCTATTACCGATACCATACCGCAACACGTCAATAAATTATTTTTTTAAGCAATCCTAAACGCCTCCTAAATTGAGATTCATTTATAATTTTTTTCAAAATTGTTTCGTAATTTCAAGATTTTGTAGTTAAAAATCAAAAAGCGTTTAAACATGAAAACTACGGGAGCATGACAACGAACCTAAACTTTCGGTAGAAAGGTCTTGTACAAATTCACACATGTTAGAGACATAAGCAAGAAAAACAGTTTCCTTCGACTTCAAAACCCTTGAAAACCCCCTTCATATCTTCCTAGACTCAGAAAGTGCTACAAGGAGAAGGTATGGTGGAGGCTTCACCCACCGGTTGTAGTTCGACGGAACTTTCGCCTGAGGAAGAACTGCAGATGATAACTGCCATTTCAATGGCAACCGAACCTCAAACCAAAGTAGGCGATACATTTTGTTTAATTAGTCGAAGGTAAGTAATACTGTTACCTCTTTCTTCAATTCCGTATTTACATCTGTCGACATGATTGGACTTGTAGGTCCTTTTCTAGTAGAATGTAGAGGTTTTTAAAAGAAATAAGGGTTTACCATCCATTTATGTGGGTGTGGCATGAAAAAGCAGCTTTATGTGTTGAATTTAGTTAATTCCATTATTATTTGCAATTAGGGCTTAATTTTTTTTTGGTAGAATGCTATTTCAAAAAGAATTAGGTGTTTAACTTTTAATTACGTGGGTGGATTGAGAAAAGGAAGTCTGAGGTCTTTTGATTCTGAGGTCCATGCAGTTGATGTAATAGTTATTATCTGCGAGTAGGGCTTGATTAGATGAATTCCTGATTCTGCAAAGTTGAATTCACCCCCGTATAACTAGTGCAAATCAGATAGTTTCCAGAGGATATCTAGGAAGAACACGATTTCCAATTTAACGTTACCCTGACTGAGTTTTTTGCTTTTTTGGGTAGTATGTGCTTGAACGTAAGGTCATGCAGTCAATTCCACAATCGCAATTAGGGCTTAATTAGATGAATTATCTATGTTGTAGCTGTTGATTTATATTTCAGTAAGAAATAGGGCAAAGTAGATAGTATCTGAAACTGACCTTATAAGAACATGATTTTCAAATTTAGCTTTCTTTACTAGCAGTGCATAAGTTTAGATCTTTCAAGATGAGAATTGAATTTGTTGAATTTTTGGGTAGATTGATTGCCATGGTTTTGAAAAGAATCAGGGGTTTAGTCTAGCAAGACCTTATGCAAAATAGATGGTTTTCAAAGCTGAACTACAAAGAAGATGATTTCAAATTTAACTTCACCTGTCCATCCTTACTTCATGGATTTCCTAACTTAACATCACATTTCAACCCTCAATGGATGGATTTGGATCCAGTAAAGTACTTCTCTCTTAGAAATTTAATTGTTTAAAACTTGATACTTGCACGTGACACATTAATCTGAACTTGAAGATATCCAGGCTCAACCTAAACCTTAAGTTACTTAAACACAAAGCAGGAAATGAGATTTAAGGAAAGATAACTAAATTTATTGACTATTTACTAAGCAAAAAGAGCAAGAAGTGATGGTATTGATTATTGAAGAACTTGAAATGGGAATATTTTGTGTAGGACTAGCACCTATTATGGTGCAAAAGGAAGGATATGAGAATAGGGAAGGGTTACGTATATATGGAACTTGACTACTTGAGTCAATGCTTTCTTTTACATGCATGGGAAAGTTGGATACAGAGATTTCCTCCCCAAACCTCATAGACCCAAGGAGCCTAGTGCACCAAGAGTACTGCTTTTCTCTATCTTGATGATTACTGTATGAAGTAATCTTGGCTTTTACATGCCACTGATTGAAATAGTTAAATTATGTATCTTCATAGTTATCGTATATTTTATGTAGTCATTGTTCTTTGTGTCTTCATTGGTTTCATGATCGTCTTCACCATCCTCCTTTCTTTTTGAGATTGTAAAGAAGAGGGGAAGTAAGGGATGAGAGAGATAAATATGAGAGAAAAAAACTGACATTGACGTGGTTTTGTCTCCTTTGATTTTGTCGTCCTTTATTAGTGCATTTTTTCTTCTTCTTTTGTTTAAATGGTCATTAATGTAAAACGAAAACTCTTAAAAAGGAAATAATCTCTCGGTAAAACACAATGAAAGATGAAAATGAGGGATAAAGATGTCTCCCTTTTACATTTTCTATGTGAATTGGTTTAAATCCAAGAACACAATTTAGATTTGAGATGATTTTGACCTGACTTGTTAGAAATAAAGCAATTATTTAGATGAATTTAGTTGCTTTTTAAATTTTATGTCGAGTGAATTACAGAGAGACCATAGCCTGTGGGTCAACATTCATCTTTCATGTTTCATCTAAAAAGTTGCATTTTGAGTTCATACAAGAAGGATGCCTTAACAATTTTGCGCTTTGGCTCCTTCAAAGTTGCCTGAATGTCATTGAAGAATCGTATGCCTTCACAAACCAAGCTTCCGTGGCCTAATTTAAGTCAAACTGGGAAGCAGAGTATCACTTTGGTGAGCAAGAGGCAGCCAGGTGTAGGAGAAGGCTGAAAGCAAGCTTGGTTAGGGATATGGAAACAAGGTGATGGCATCAAAGAATAGCATAATATATTTCTATGGAATATGAATTACAGTTGGTGTCTCTGTCTCCTCAAAAAGGAAAAAATGGTAAGTTTGATGGTTGGCACAGGTTTACTTTTGGTAAAATGGACAAAACTTAAAAATGTTAATTGTATTCTTCTTTCAGAGATGTTATTTGACAGACTACCCTAACCTTTAATCTGTAACGGACTAGGGCCACAATAGCAAGATATTTTGAGAAGTTCTCAAGCTTCATCTTCCTCAAACACCAACCATTGTCAGCCAAGAACACCCAAAATCTGTGCTTCATTTATCTATCTTCTGTCTATCTTTTTTCATGGTCCTCCGATCAGTGGCCTAGTCCACAAAACCTTTTTCATTTTCACAACAGGAACTTGTTTAGTTTCCTGCAAATATCACTCCCTTGGATCTGCCCACTGCCCGTCAAACTCAACCGTATGATACATTCACCATGCCCATTCAGAATGCACCATGGCAGAGTGTTAATCTGAGTGCACATCATGAGATTGATTGGATATGGGTTCTCTACCCCCATCAGCAAAAGTTGAATGTCCACATTTGTGATTCACTCTCTAGTTTTTGATCATTAACTGGATATTCTAGTGGCCGGTACTCTGTATTTTATGAAGGATAGGTCAATTAGAATCTGTTCCTTTTCTCAACTTGATAAATTTAATTTGTATTGGACAATCTAGCTTATATTTCCATTATGCCTAGAAATGTACTTATAGTTATAATTATACCAAAATAAACTTGTATATGTGCACCTCTTTAATGGATTTTACATACCATGCAGCCAAATAAGTCATTGAATAATACTTTCCCTTGCAAATCACACACCTGTACCCTTACCACAAACTAGTACGTTCTAAGGAAGTAGTACTGCAACTCGCTTGGTCAAGGTAGTGGCTTGTATAATACTTGCCTACAAGAAATGCATGGAGTTAATAAAAAACCCAAAATAGAAATAGAAGACCAATACATCTCTTGTTTTATGTGGCAATAAGGGACCCTGTTATGTGTTTGCTGCCGAGGCAACCCTCGGAGTTAACATTTACACTTGCAATAAATTAGAGAGTGCTTTTTCTAGGTTGACTGAAATACAGTTTTCTATTTTCTTGTTTAAGAGCCATTTATGTGATTACCTTGCAAAAATTTGACATTATTGCACCTTTGTTATATATATATATATATCATACTGCACCAAATTGTTTCATGTACCATTTACCAAAAAACGCTTCAAATGAGACTACCCCCAACAAACCACACACCCTTAATTGTAACTGGCATACACTGATGCTTATATCCGTAACTGGCTATACTTCAAATTAGGTATGCTAATATAATGTCTACCAGAAGGCATGATGATTGACAATAGAGTAGAGTCTGGGACTCAATGCCAGCTTTTATGTAGGTGGGAAGATGCTGAATTGATCCACTTGTGCGTATTTGTTGATAAAAGAAGAGAAAACTGTAAAGAGGCCTCGACTGACATGAAAAAGGAAGGACCGTTGAGATGGTTTGGACGCTTCATTTTGAATCTGCAACTAACTAAATATATAGTGACCGTGCTGATCTCGCAGTGTATCTACACCACGAAATGAAAAAGCAGCATCTTTAAGTTAAACCGTAGGTCTTTTCCTGAAGAGAAGTACAAAGAGAAGTTGGATATTCTAGAATCTAGAGCTGGAAAACCAGCTTGCTCATAGAAGCTTTTTAGAGCTTGAGATAAGGCCGTTGTTGGTGCTGGTTCGAGATCATATGCCGTAGGCATTTTCTTAGAAAGGCTTATCAATAAATGCAGTTATTGTACCACCTTTGAAGGCCAAACGATCAATTCTTCATTATATCTAGTTTGTAAGCCTCTTGGATAGCTACGACTCACAAGATACACAGTGAGTCGGTGACAAGGTGATTCAGATGTAAAACATATATAGAAGTCTCAATGATGACACAAGTTTACATATGATGATGTTTACCTTGTCTTACTAGTTATGGATTTTTGGAGCTTCTCTTGTTGGCACTGATCTGGAGCTTAAAAGCACCTACATGTAAGAGTCAACCTGTGATTTTTGATGCTGATCAGATGCCTGTCAAGGGAGTTCATGGATGAAAATATAGGTGACATAATTATAAAGCATCTTCAAATGTGTCAACACATACATTATGTCCCTTTCCTGAGTTCCAAACTATACGACCTGTTGAATCATTTTGTGCTTTGTGGTAGTGTCATTGTCACATGCTTGCTAATTTGTAAAGGAAATGATAAGCAAGGATCTTGAAAATCCTTTTTCGTAATTTAATTAATAAAAGATTTTGGACTACATATAATTAATTATACATCTATGCTGAGTGCTATAACATAAATGTTTTACTCTTTGGGCTACACGTCGTAGCGATGCCACTCAAGTTCCAGCAGTTCCAATTTATACATTCATACATGCATACATACATGCATACATACATACATACATACATACATACATACATACATACATACATACATACATACATACATACATACATACATACATACATGCATGCATGCATACATACATACATGCATACATACATGCATACATACTATGATGTATCTTTACTAAACAAAAACCAGATATTCTTGTAAAGTATGTTGTCACCATGAATCAGCAAGACAGATAGAGCCATGGTTTTTATTGTAGTTTAGCATTACCTATCAGGAGTCCACTGGTTTCTGTATTTAATATGCTAATGTATCTATTTAAGATGTATATTAATTCTTCTGGGATAAATCTTATCTTTGCTATTAAATAATGATGCTCCAAAAGGTAGCTTAGCTAATTATATTAGAAGTCATCTTTTAGAAATGATGGCAGATCTGAAAGATTAAATTGTGGAAGAAAAATTAGTTTCACAGTCATCTGAATCATGTTATAATCTCATTTTAAGTTTGAGATTTCCTTGATAGCTTTTAAACTAGCATTTGACAGTTTTATGGTCTACTTTGTGCTTATTTCTTGAAGTTGGCATGATATCTCTGCAAGCTGTTTATCTTCATTTAGCTATTTTATTAGCAACTTGTGGCTACACCATTTTTACTTTTAGTTCCTTTGACTTTATTCACAAAGTAAGTCAATCGTATGGATTTCTTCACATTGAAAGAGTTTGGTGGCCTAGAAATAGAAGAATAAGTGAAAATGAAAATGATGAAAATGATTAGACCCTAAACATTTCTCCATTGATTGTTGACAGATGGTGGCAAAATTGGCTTGATTTTGTTACCCATAACAAGACAGTTAGTGCAAATGAGGGTTCATCTTCAGAGCATCAAGATTTAGGCAGTTCTAGTACTCCCAAGAGGCCATCAAGCATCGACAATTCTGATTTGATCTATGAAGCAGCATCTGAGAATCCAACCATGGGTATTGAGCTCCATGATACACTAGTAGAACACACTGATTACATATTGGTCCCAGAAGTAACTTGGAATCAATTATGTGCATGGTTAGTTTGAACTTGCATGGTGGCTTTAATATAATCTCTTCCATTCTCATTTGTTTACGTACAGTAGATATAGTTGCATTGATAGAAAGTCTATCTTTATAACCAGGGAAGCTGCCAATTGATTGATTTGTAAACCTGTTTTAGCACAGGTCTTAAATACTTTATTGAAAACCACAAGGGTGGTGCCTGATTGGTTTGAGCTTGGCTCCAAAGGTCAAAAGTACCTGGAGGTCTCAAGTTCAAATCCAAGGAGGAATAAAAATCCTGTTGTGGCCATGGAGGTTCAAATGCGGTGACTTCGGGCTATCTGCAAAGCAGGTGGTCGCCCTGGGATTAGTCGGCTCGCATAGCGGGTTGGATATCTAGGTTAATAAAAAAAAAAAAAACTTTATTGAAGTTGCTAAAACTTTACCAAGACGATTAGCATGTCGGGGAAAGGAGTCAAGAGAGATTCTTATAGTTGTAAATTGCTACAGGATTTTTCCTTGTAGGTCAGAGGATGTAGGGATGCTATTCAAATTTCAGAGTCCTTGTATTCTTCACCTCCTTTTGATTTAATGGGGGTAAAGGACAAGTATGCATACATGCCACCCCATACCCTACTTTCGAGTTGAATATACTGGGTCCGTTTGGCTTGGTTTCCTAGTGACTAGTTTGTGATAAAGCTTTGAAACCTTGACTAGTTGAGTGCTAATTATCGGTTTTAATCAACAATGACTGATGGAAATTCTGTACATGTTGGTTTCAAATTATATGCTTGCTTACACATAAGTATAATTAAACAGACTCCATACATTTTTTCCTTCTGTTTGGATCAAAATAGTTTAGACATGCAATGTCAAACTGAAGTAGACTATTAATCAATTTATAATTTTAAATAAAATAATGCTTTACCTGAGCATCATCATTATTAGTTTATATTTTTTAATAGTTTCCAACCTTTTACTTTTATATGCTGAATGTTGCATATAGAGATTGACATGCAATAATCTATTGTACAAGTGAAGCATTTAATTTTTTTTTGGGGGGATCACACAAAATTATCACAAAATTTGCTATTAGCTTGTATAACTTGGTTATTTCATAAGTCAGTCTACCACTCTACCTGTTCAAAAGAAATTCTTATCTGCAGCATCTGCTACTGTTATTTTTTTGGAGTTACGATGTTTCTTATGACATGCTATTGTTAGTTACTTTTCTGAATTAGTGTATAATACAATCCCTCTTTTTTTTTATCATCTACCCCTGAGAATTAGCCTAAATTTATTCAAGGATCTGGTCTATGCTTATTGTTACCTGGACGTATATGGCAAGCCTGAAATACACAAGATACATGAAAATTTCGAAACTTCATGTGCTAAGATTTACAGATGTAAGCGTGCTTGATTTTTTCACTTGTTCAAGTAGCTTCCGTTCCAGTCTTCCACCTAAATGTTAGTGGATAAGTCTGAGGAACACTACATCCTTAGCCACTCACCTGTTTGAAACACATTTATTCCTAACACAGTTAATCTCCTATCAAGTACATATTGGTGCAACTACTTCAGTCAATGCATCAAACCATAGGCACTGCAATCTCTACTCTTTGGAGTAGAGGACAGTCTGCGTACATTGCACCATCATACGCCACATTCGGGTGGGATACATTGGGCTCATTTGGTTTGGTTTTAAAGAAGATCTTGCATTGATATCAAGGATTGAGTGAATAACGATGTTATCTGCCTAAGAAAAATGAAATTGTTAAGCTCATATTTGTAGGGCTGTTGTTGCACCCTGTGCTAGAATTTCATGCTTTTTGCTCATAGCAAGACATTTATCGCGTTATTTGTCACTATCAGAATTTAGCTGTCTAGTGATTGCTTCATATTTGTTCCAAAGTAAGTTTCATTATGCTGAAATAGTAAAGGGCATATTATTCATAGGTCTGTTATTAGCTGTTTTACAAGAAATAGACGAGGAACCATTCTAGTGATTCTTGAGGTGCAGGTATGGAGGAGGGCCTAAATTGGCACGAAAGGTGATAAGTTCTGGTCAATCGCAAACAGAATTATCTGTAGAAGTATATCCTCTACGCCTTCGACTACATCTGATGCCAAAAGGTGACCAGTGTGCCATAAGAATAAGCAAGAAGGTACAGCTGTAGTTCGTTGAACTATAAATAGTTTATGTGCTCTCTGAAATGCATTTCTCATTTCTCCCTATGAAAAAAATGTAGCAGTTATGTTATGTCCTTAATCAACATTCTATGATTTGATCTGAGCAGGAAACAATCCGGGACCTACACAAAAAGGCTTGCGAGATATTTGTACTTAATTTGGAGCAAGTAAAGAAATTATGAACACCATTCTCTTTGGATAACCTTTTTTTGACAAGCATCTCTCTAATTCTTCATGTTTTATTCTTTTCCCATGCTCTGTCAGGTAAGCATTTGGGACTACTACAGCCATAGGAAACATGCTTTGATGAATGACCTGGATAAATCGCTTGATGACGCCAACATACAGATGGATCAGGATGTAAGTTACTTTATGTGCGAGAGTGTTTCTTTATTGACTAAAAAACTTCGTTACAAAGATCAATTAGAATTTGTTTTGCATTCAAGTGCCGATGATCAGTGAGTCACATGGAGTTCTCATTTAACATGTGCAAATTTTTTTCCTTGAATTTCAAAATCATGTCACATATAATTATATTTTTTAAGCATCATGTTATCTCCCAGGCCCCAGAAGTGCGCTAGTTCTATGGGTCATTAGGTGCTGAACTTTGTCAGGATAGTTTCAAAACTTTACAACAAATTGAGTAGCCTTTGTATTTCTTCTTTTATGTACTTAGACCTGCTTTCATGTTTATTTTATTAGCATTTTGTAATCTTTCATATGCTATCTTACGTAGATAGAGCTCCTAATTCCAGATTAAACATTCAACATGATGTCGTCTAAGTTATAACTAGATTCTGAATTCTAACTTCTTAATTTCTGTTCTTTTTTGTAAATATTTAATTATTTTGTATGTCTTATGTGGTTTTGGTTTTTGTTTTGCTTACCACTCACTGTGGAAGAACTGCAACAATCTGCTAGATACAATTGCTCATTAATTCCATGAAATTGAAATGAACATATCCAAGCTATCTGTTACACTTGAGATTTGTCATAGCAGCTTTCATCATGGATGTGGCTGCTCCATGAATTCAGTAATCGTTCTGCTCCATGTGCAAATAATTTTTGTGTCTGTGTGTGTATTTGCTGAATACAGATCTTGGTGGAAGTCATTGATAATGGTGGTGGTTGTACAAGTGATGCCCAGGAGAATGGGTTTGCTAAGAACGAGTCATCGGTACTTGTAGAACCTTCTAAGACGAATTATTCGATTGCAGGAGGATTCTCTGCAAGCAAGGGTATACCGAAGAACTGCAATTCAGAGTTGTCACAATTTCAAAACTTGTCTTCTGCAATTAGAGAATCGGAAGATAAGACACCCGTGTCTGTTGGGGTTAGTACAAGGGGATCTTCTGGTGGTCTAACTGGATTGCTAAATTTTGGGAACACTTGCTTTATGAACAGTGCTATACAGTGCCTCGTTCATACACCTGAATTTGCTAGATATTTCAGAGAGGATTATCATCAAGAGATCAACTGGCATAACCCTCTAGGGATGGTGGTAAGTTTTAATATGAACCCTCCACAAGGAAAGCTATTACAAAACCCAAAGAGTTTGTGAGGTTCCATGTTAACAAAAAAAGTGATGTTTGTTCAAATTGTTAAATCTCCATCTACTCGTCAATTTAGCATTTATGGTGCAAAATTAGTGTTCTCCATTGTTGTCTCTGAGGTGTGGGGTGCCTTTGTTGCTTTTGGTGCAATTTAAATGTTTGGTTTCTACCAAATTCGGAAGAGAGGTACATGATAGTTCTGGACATGGTCTAAGTGAGAATTACTGTAGAGGTATCGACTTATGAACTACAAAAAAGTTCATTGTGTAGTAAATAGGAAAATAAGAATCACTTTGGCAAGTTGACCATAACCTTAAGTGCAGCGATCCCGGATACAGTCAAATGAACTACCCACACAATTCTTTATAACAGCTATGAATGAAGACTTCCATTCCTGTCCTTTCTCCAACCTAATTTTTCCTTTAATAGATGCAATAATCTTTTCACTTCCTCTTTGAGTGCTTGTACGTTGAATTCTTGGGTCTTTGTTTAATAAGACCTCTAGGCATTCCATGATAATTAACATTCAATGTTTTTTGTTCCCTTTGATCTTTATTGATATTCTTATACACGGATCATACAGCTCTTCAAAACTTTCTGCCTTTTTCTTTGCATATTATTTAATACACCAATTACCCTAATTATATTATGTGATAACACAAGTCATCCTACAATTGTAATATCCTAACATTATGCAACTAGCATTCTACCTTTTGACGCAAGTGAACAGCAGGATATAATGAAATAAGGTGGCCGTCTTTTAATATTCATTCTTATCATTGGAAGAACCAATCTCCTGTGAATTGCTACAGCTGAAACAGGTTTCTCTGTTTTTTGGATGAGTGAACCTCATAATGCAGATTTTTGTGCATTAGGATATACTGTCTTATCTTATAGTAATTTTGTAAATGGTTTCTCTTGCTTTAACAGTTCAGGTATCTGCTAAATATTTAATTCAGTTTGTAAATAGTTTATCCACTGTGATTGCTTTTGCACGATTATTGTTTCTTCCATAATTTTGGAAACCTGATATGTAGGGTGAGCTAGCTCTAGCTTTTGGTGAGGTACTTAGGAAGCTGTGGGCACCAGGTCGGACGCCATTTGCTCCTCGGCAATTTAAAGCAAAGCTTGCTCGCTTTGCACCACAATTTAGTGGATACAATCAGCATGATTCTCAGGTTCATTGTGCCCCTCTTGAACTTTCTTGAATTCAGGTTGACATATTTAATGAAATATATGGTTTATGTTCACCTCAGGAGCTTCTGGCATTTTTGCTTGATGGACTTCATGAAGATCTGAACCGTGTCAAACACAAACCTTACATCAAGTCCAGAGATGCTGATGGCCGACCTGATGAAGAAGTTGCTGATGAGTACTGGGCAAATCACATTGCTCGTAATGATTCAATAATTGTGGATGTCTGCCAAGTGAGTATCATTTTTCATTCAACACGATATCATATGTAGCATAGAATTGAAATTCCAAAGCTGAAACGTTTTGTATCAATGATTGGGACTCGGCTAGCATTTACACTCAATTTTGCAGTTTGTCCTTCTGGCCTACCTGTGGCCCCAGCATGCCTGTATATGCTGATATCAGTCTTGCTGCTTATCTAAGTTGTAGTTGGTACCATCTTTCAGTGATATTTTTATACTTGCATGTCAGGGTAGGATTAAGAAAGTTTTTGTACTTAAGTTGTTCACTGAAGAGGCCAGTATAAACGGGGATCTTTTTGCAACAATCATGTGCTACTACTGTTTGGTTCAGTCATAAGCGACTAGGCGTATTACTTTCTAAAGCTATAGGTATTGCATTCCATGGACACATCTTTAATTAGCATAGCGGAATTTTACTTAGAAAACGGCTTGCCAGGCATAGGAAGGAGCTATGTAACATCTGTATTATCATTTATGGCGTATGTTTAACCTTATTTGTGCATGTACATTTCAGTTGTTTGCTAATGTGCAGCTTAGTTTTGGGACCTAATTTAATTAGATTTTTTCTAATTGTTTGTCTAACAGGGCCAGTATAAATCAACTTTGGTCTGTCCAGTATGTGAGAAGGTGTCTGTTACATTTGATCCATTCATGTATCTCTCCTTGCCACTTCAATCAACTACTACTCGCACAATGACAGTGACAGTTTTTAGTTGTGATGGAAGTGCCCTGCCTGCTACTTGCACGGTAATTGTACCAAAACAGGGACGTTGCAAGGACTTGATTCAAGCACTTAGCAATGCTTGTGCATTAAAGCACAATGAAAAAGTTTTTCTAGTGGAGGTAAACACCTTAATTAATCATTTATTGTTGATTATGAGAGTATGAATGAATGAGGTTCTGATTAGATTGAGGTGTATACTTTTGTCTTCACAGATACGGAACCACTTGATTCACCGGTTTCTGGAAGATCCTCTCATGTCATTATTTTCCATAAAAGATGATGACCACCTTAGTGCTTACAAGATCCCAAAGTCTATGAAAAACACTAAATTTCTCCAGTTGATACACCGCCGGGAAGAGCTGTAAAGTCCATCTTGATCTATTATCGAATAATGAGCCAATCTATAGCAACCACCAAATTTTCCATCAAACTCTCCTCAAATCTTCTTGTAGAAAGAAAACATGATTTAGTACACTTTATCTCTCATAATTACTATCCATCTTTTCAAAACAAGGAAAAAATGGTGAGTTTGGTGGCAAGTTTGATGGTTGCTACAGATTTACTCTTAAATATTGATACATTTTTGTTTGGATTTGATAAATAGTTGTCCTACTAATTATAAATATGTCATTCCAATATTTTAGGGTATTTTCTCATCATTTTTTTTTGTCTATTTAAGGGAAACTGGTAATGCTCGGGGCACAACAGGATGGAAGGCTTATGGAACCCCCCTTGTTTTTCCAGTTTCTTGTGATGCAACTATTACAAGAGGTGATATACAGTTGATAGTTCACACAATGCTCTCCCCCATGCTAAGAGCCGAGCCAGTACATTCTGATATCTCGGATGCTGACCCATCTTCAGTAGCATCAGACCTAACTTCTGTCAAGAAGGCAAGTATCATTGATGGAAAGGAGAATGATGATTCAAAAACACCATCACTGAAACTTCCACTAAAGTTGGTTGATGGAAACAATGCATGTATTGATCTTTCGGTTGGAGAAGAGAGAACTGTAAGGTTGCCCTCAACTTCCATGTCAGTACTGCTTTTCATTGATTGGTCGCCAAAGCTTTTGAAAAGATATGACACACATTACCTAGAAAAGTTGCCAGAAGTTTTCAAATATGGACCTGCTAAGAAAACTCGGACGGAACCTTTGTCTTTGTACACATGCTTAGAAGCCTTCTTACGTGAGGAGCCATTGGTACCTGAAGACATGTGGTAAGCTTTTTTTTCTACTGATATACATTTCGTTTAATCATTTCTTTGTGTTTGATGTTTGTAGATTTATATAAATCTTCCTTGTGGCACATATTGAGTTTTTCATATGATCTCTTGGGTATGAAGCTTTGGAATGTAAACCTGTCTGTAACTTAGCTGTTACAATAGCTACATAGTTAAAGTTGAAATCTTTCCTCGATTATCCTTTCATTGTTTGGCTTCCTTTTTTAGAGGCAATCTTCCTTCAATATATATCCCCATTACGAGGAATTCACGGAACATAACAAGAACCACCATGTAAAAATTGTGTTCAATATTTTTATGCATATATCCTCGATTATAGATCCGAACACGATCTTCTCCCAAACCCCTTGGAAAACAACTACTTAACGAACATGTTAGAAAATGATTAGCAACCGGTCTCTTGGCCCTAAATCTAGTTCAACATTCTTTATTATGTTCCTCATGTTTACAGACACTAGTTTATGTGTGATACTCGTCCCTTAAGAAAATCGAACATTTCCTTTTCTCGCAGTGTCCCAATAAATTGACCTATTTGCACATTATCTTCATTACAAAAAAGTTGATCGATTTGGGTCTGCAAAATTCCAACATTTTTATAGTATAGGGTATTTAGATTCTTGATAAGTCAAACAATATGCTAAAACTACTGATTTAAGTCAAACATCACAATTTTGATGTGGATGAAGTACTCGTTTTCATGACTTCTCATGAGATAGTGCTATCTGATATTTATTTTTTGTCATTGGTGAAGGTACTGCCCGCAATGCAAAGAGCGAAGGCAAGCGAGTAAGAAGTTAGATCTTTGGAGGCTACCTGAAGTGCTTGTGATCCATTTAAAAAGGTTCTCGTATAGCAGATCAATGAAACATAAGCTAGAAACATTTGTCAATTTCCCTATTCATGATTTCGACTTGACAAATTATATTGCTAACAAAAACAACTCCGGTCGTCAAGTATATGAACTTTATGCCTTAACCAATCACTTTGGCAGCATGGGAAGTGGGCACTATACCGCACATATTAAGGTCAGCCCTTAAACTTGCCAATCTGATGTTCTCATTTATGGTACATATTTGCAAATCTTAGCTAGCTAACAAGTTTTTCTCATTCAAATGGATGAGGGAGTAATAACATGGTAGTCACTATGATATTCTTGCTTTTGCTTGTATTAAAAACTATTTTGCAGTTAAAAGTTTTATAAGCTTGACCTAGTCAAGATTTGGGTACTCTATTCTTAGAAATGCATGCTATAGCATTAAGCCTCATGTTGATGTTACTGCATTGAAGTCTTAATATGTTCCTATTATTTTGAATATCCTAGTCTATTTGAATGTGCTATTCTTTATTAGGGGGTATGCCTCGAGCAGGGAGGGGATCACTAGCTAAATTTTCTTTGTCCAAGTTATTTTGGGTTAAAACAAAGAAAAAGTTTTTCTGATGTATGAAGATCTGGCCTCTACCCTCAGAGAGTAGAGCGGGTGTTTTCGTGATCACTATCCATTAATAAATTACCTATATGTTTTGCAAGTCGAGGGTCTTCATGGAGACGGTCTCTCTACCCCTTAGTTGGGTTAGAGGTAAGGTCTGCTTACAGCTTATCCCCGACCCTACCTCTATGTGGGATTTACCGGGTTCATTTGGTTTGGTTGTCTATCCTAGGATTTTCTTGGTGAAGACTGTTGTTCCAAAAATCTATTTTTGTGTGATGATTTTGACGTGTTTATTGCAGCTTATTGATGAAAACCGATGGTACAACTTTGACGACAGCCACATATCACCTGTGAACGAAGATGATGTGAAGTCAAATGCTGCTTATGTGCTATTTTACAGGAGGGTGAAAGCAGAGGAAAATGGACCTGGATGTTGTGCAGGTGGTAACTCATCTTTGCACAAGTGACCACCTCAAACACATTCATATACATTGTTTGCTAACAATAAGACATATGTGCACAAAATACTCGGCGTTTCTGGGGTCCCTAATGAAATTAAAAAAAATGTCTTATTAACTTTTGGTCTCTTTGTCCTGTTGCTTAATTCCTCCCTCATAAAGTAGAGTATTCATTAGACTTGTTTCTTCCAATCCTCATAAAGCCAAATGGAATTTTGGTGCATTTCCCTTGGGTGGCAATTATTGAAAATGTTACCAATAAGCCCTCCACAAAGTATATTTTATAGGATAGGAGTAGAGGGGGTTGTCTATGTCTATTATTGTATCTATATGTGTGACATGTTTTCTGTTTGCTAGTCTTGGTTTTTTATTTGTTGTAGTAATATAGTTGTCTTGAGTGCTGAATTTCTGTTTATTCTACATGTTGCGCACACCTGCTCTTTTAAATCTTGTTTTTGCATGCCACATGAAACAACCTCTCTACCTCTTTTTTTTTTTTGAAGTATAATATTTATATATGGCAAATGCAACAAATAAACCCACACACCCTCCTTACCTATGGTGAGGTTTGAACCTCTGACCTCCTAGAAGGTCAAGGGCTACGATACCGTTAGGCCAAAGGTCTTTTGGTAACCACTCTACCTCTTTAAGGTAGAGGAAAGGTATCCCTGCATTCTACCTTCTGATCTTACCTCTCTGTTTATGAAACTTGTTTGGTTTGTTCGGTTTGTATAGATGTTATGTAACATATTCTCTTTCTTAAAAAAATTGTGTATATATATACACGAAGGATCGTGTAAGTATAAAGGTTAAGATGTGAAACACAAGAAGGGATTTGGACTCAACCCTTGTATTAGGGCTTATGACGGAAACTCTCATCTGGAATGTGGTTGACGGCAATCGAACGGTTTTCATCGACGAAAACCGCTACCATGCCGCCTACATCAAGGAAAAACACCTAGAGCCATTATGACAGGCGGACGGTTTATTTTTTTGTTTAAAAATTTGTTTTTAACTCGATTTTAGGTTTTCATTTGCATTATTTTTTTTGTTTGAATTCGATTTAGGATTTTTGATTTGTATCAATTTTGTGTCACACAGTGATAATGAATTTGATTTAGAAACCCATAGATCTGCTCTTCCCGTGATTATATGTCATTTGTTTAAAGTTCATTTTCTTGTTTTATCTATGAATTTTGATTGTTTCGATTTTTTTTTACCAAAGTTCATAGGTGAAACAATGATTTTAGTTTAAGTTCATAGTAAAAAAAAATAATTTTTGTTTAAAGTTCATAACGTCATTTCGTCATGAACTTTGGTTGTTTCATATTTTTTTTTATCAAAGTTCATAGGTGAAACCAGAAAGTGAATGAGATAATTAAGAAAGTTTAAACAAATTAATGGGTGAAATCAGAAAGTTTATGACTGAAACCAAAAAGTTTGTAGGTGAAACAATTAAGTGAATGAGATAATTAAAAAAATATGATAATTATGTAATGTGATAATTAGGTGAATGAAATAATTAAGAAATGCGGTATCAATATATGAAAAAGACGATAATACTCCGGTTAATGAAGTTTGTACTATATATATAGGGGCTGGTTCAAATACTAACCCAAACTATTGTGCAAACTATGCTAACCGATCTTGATCATTCATTTTCTCATCAAACGGTCCTTATTAAATGAGACTACAAAAATAATCATTTAATTAATGTATTAAATGAGATGTCTATGAACARMTGTTCAARRGRTAATTTTGTAAAAAAATCGCATCACATCGTGAACCTATATTATTCAGACGATTTCATAACCTCCAGTCAACTACGAAACTGCCAATCTATACGATCAATAGTGTATATCATTAGCGAAAAATCTGGTTCATAATATTCATCAAAACGATGGATGATTTTGGCGAAATRCATACAAGTTTGGATTTGTGAACCTAATGAACATCACACACACGCAACAYTTCACAAATACATACWAGTTTGGATTTGTGAACCTAATGAACATTAGCAATATGACATAAAACAGTAACGAATCCCAACGTCTACGTCTGTGTTATTTATGCTGATTTGATATCTGTTAATATATGTGTGTCTGTGCACAAATGTCTTAATGCATCCTAGTATGAAAAATGTAATCGCTATGTGTGTGATCAAGTAATATAGCACAGTGAACATAATGAACAACCCCTATATAAGCATGATATGATTTGTGCTATATGACATAAAACAGTAACAAAACTAAAACTATTATTACACAAAGTAGATAATTAAAAAGAGCAACAAGGATGTTAATTTACTGAAATTGAAAACTTAGTGAAAAATGTATATTGTTTGCCATCCCGAAGTCAAATCTTTAATGAATATAATGAACAACCCCTACGTAGTTAGTCTTCAAAACTAAAACTATTATTACACAATGTAGATAATTAAAAAGAGCAACAATGATGTAGATGTACTGAAATTCAAAACTTAGTGAAGAATGTATATTGTTTGCCATCCCGAACTCAAATCTTTAATGTAGGCATGTTCACATTAGCGTGTTCATAGCTATCGTATGTTCATATTGGGACACTTATTGATCATTTTCTTCACTTTCGGAATTTGAATTCCGAATGTATTCGTAGACGCTTTTAGCTTTTTCATTCTCATTGTCGTCGATCCGTTTTACTCTATGATTATCCATATTAATCGGACTATAACGGAATCTTTACAAAAGAGACTTTTTTTCAAATTTACAATATCAAAACCATTATAGGAAGAATAAATGTAAAATTCAATAAGATGAACACATGTGAAACTTCATATCATTATTACATGAAGATCAAATAGTGATATTTTAAGATTTG